AGAATAGAATTCTATATATAAAAAGGACTTTGAAGTTAAAAACTCAGCAATAGATTAAACATAACTGAGAGGAGTTGAAGAAATTACCATGAATATAGCACAGGGCAATAGTTAAATATGTAAAAGTTATTTTAAAAGATATTAGCATATAAAATTAAAAGGCCAACATATATCTAAGAGGTGTTTCAGAGGAGAATAGAAAAAAAAGATAATATTTAAAGAGATGACTGATGATTTTTGATAGCAAATGAAAGATAAGTCATGTAAATACAGAAGCACATCAAGCTCCAAATAGAAAAAATGCAAACACATTTCAGTGAAACATCAAAATACTAAACATAAAGTATATATCTTAAAAACAAATGCAATGAAAATGCAACCTATCTATCTAAAAACTTCTTAACAGTAAAAACAGAAGACAAAACATATTGGAATAGTTTCTTTAACATCCCGAAAATAGGCCAGATTTGGTGGCTCATACCTGTAATTCTAGCACTCTGGGAGGCCAAGGCAGGGTCCCTTGAGCTTAGGAGTTTGAGACCAGCCTAAGCAAGAACAAGACACCCCTCTCTAGTAAACACAAAAAATAGAAAACATTAGCTGGGCAACTAAAAATAGAAAAAATTAGCTGGGCATGGTGGCTCATGCCTGTAGTCCACTTGAGCCCAGGAGTTTGAGGTTGCCGTTAGCTAGGCTAACACCACAGCACTCTAGCCCGGGCAACAGAACAAGACTCTGTCTCAAAAAAAAGAAAAAAAGAAAAAAGTCTGCTAACCTACACATCTATACTCAATCAATTAAACTATCACTCAAAAGGACAGGCAAAAAAGAAATCTTTTTCTCTAACAAAGGTGAAGAGTTATTTACCACTCAGTATCACTACTGAAACAATGAGGGGTCTGTCTGGCAGAATGAAATTGAAATTAGAAGAGCAGAAAAAGCTGTAATAAATAATGGAGACAAACTGAAAAATATACGGAAAAATCTAAGCAAATATTGACTGTAAAAGAGACTATAATAATGACTCATTTTGAGGTATAAATGCAAACAAGTACTATCATGCCAGAAAGAAATGACATAAAGGACAAGAAGGGCATCAGAGTTAAAGCATTATGTTATTTTGGAGAAAGGTAGAGATATTGATTAATTTAGACCTTGTTAAATTGGGTATTAAGAGTAGGATTAAGGGTAACTATTAAACCAATAGAAATGTCATATAAACTTCCAAAACCAGTAGAGGAAAGAAAGAAAAGTATTTCAATACAAGTTAGAAAAGGAGGAAGAAGGAAAGAAACAACATAATAAATAAAAGGCACAAAAAATGCAACTATATCTGTATCAAAATTAAAGTAAATGAACTAAACTCACCAGTTGGCAGATCATATCTCAGATTGGATAAAACCACAAATCCCATCTATGTACAGTTTATAGGAGGCAGAGACAAAAAACATAATATTAGAAAGGTTTAAAGTAAAGGGATGGTATAATTGGGATCAAACCAATCGAAAACATAACTGCTCTCTTAATTGCTATGTTAATAGTGGACCAAATCGATTTTAATAAACAAAGAGCATTTGGGATAAATTGCATCATTACATAATAAGAGGAAGAATTACTGGCAAATGTAACAACTCTGAACATGTATATAATAAAAAAAACTGACAAAATTACATGAATAAATTGACAAATTCATAATTATATGGGAGATTTTAACATAGCCTCTGTAGTAATTGATAAATCATCCATTTTGTAAGGATAGAGAAAACTTTAACTGCAACATTATAAAACTTAATTTAAAATGGTTGATGTAGAGTTTGGTATAATGGTTAAATGTAGACCTTGTGCCTTTATTGTACACATATAACATTCACAAGTATTATAAATAGGCCCACAAAATGAAACAAGCACCAAAAAATCAATGTCATACAGATTACTCTTACCAAAATGCAATTATATTAAAAATCACTAATAAGTCCGGGCGTGGTGGCTCACACCTGTAATCCCAGTACTCTGGGAGGCTGAGGCGGGCGGATCACTCGAGGTCAGGAGTTCGAAACCAGCCTGAGCAAGACCCCGTCTCAACTAAAAATAGAAAGAAATTAATTGACCAACTAAAAATATATATACAAAAAATTAGCCGGGCATGGTGGTGCATGCCTGTAGTCCCAGCTACTCAGGAGGCTGAAGCAGTAGGATCGCTTGAGCCCAGGAGTTTGAGGTTGCTGTGAGCTAGGCTAATGCCACGGCACTCACTCTAGCCTGGGCAACAAAGTGAGACTCTGTCTCAAAAAAAAAATCACTAATAAAAAGATAACCCCCAAATACTGATACTTTGAAATTTTGAAATATTTTTTTAAAAGCAAATAACTCATCAGTCAAAGATAAAAAGAATGGAAATTTGATATTTAGAACTAATAATAAAGCAATACTTGGAGGGGAATGTATAACCTTTAATGCTTATATTAGAAAAGATTGAAAATGAATTAACTACACATCAACTCAAGAAGAGAAAAATAAGAGCAATGAAGAATGTCTAAAGGAAATAGAAGGAAATAAAAAAGAAAAGTTCAATTATTAAATAAATGGAATTCTTAAAAAATAAATAAGGAGACTCAAATTCCATTTGTTTAGTAAGCTCTGACATGGAAAATGAAGAAAAAAGAGAGAAGGTATAAACAAATTTCAAAGTGACTTGGCCTGGGAAAAGGCAATATATGTAACCTAAACATTTGTACCCCCATAATATTCTGAAATAAAAACAATTTCAAAGTGAAAGAAACATAATGAGAAATATAGTAGATATATTTAAATTCATAAAATTTGTGACAAAATAGGAAAATTCCTTCCTTAGACAAAATTTCTAAAAAAGGGGGCATTTTTTATTTCATTTTATAAGGCTATTACTATTTTGATATAAAAGCCAAAGACAAAAGGAGAAATGAAAATTATAGACAAATCTCATCTATACACAAATGTGAAAAATCTTAATTATTAATAAACTGAATATAGCAAAGTAAATTAAAGAACAAAAAACTCATCATGCATGACCAAGTAGGGTTTATTCAGAATATCAGTTTGGTTTATCATTCATAAATCCATTACTATGATACACCTAATAAACATATTTTAAAAGACAAAACACTTGTTCATTTTAGTATATGCAGAAAAGCATTTGATAAAATTCCACACTACTTTATAATTAGCAAAAACAAAGTCTTTTTAAGTAAGCTGGTAATTGAAGGAAAACGACTCATTGCAACCTTTTAATGGTCTCTACAACAACCATACTCCCAACATTAGACTTAATTAGTCAAACATTAGAAGCATTCTCTTCAAAAGTAGGAAGAGTCTACTATCATGGCTTCTAGTTAATATTATACTTGTGTTAACCAGGATAGTAAGACAATATATAAGAAGTATTTAATAGAAATAAAAAAAACCAGAAAGCAACAAACTGTTACACACTCACATTTAAGAAAAGTACACCAAGTGTGAAGCAAAGATTCAGCAAAGCTAAATGACTTGCCCAAGAATATACAGCTGGTGAGTAGTAGAGCCAGGAATTTTTCCCACATTATCTGGCTTCAGAGTCTGAACTCAACCACTTTTGCTCTGACTGACTGGTAACCCATCAGTTACAGTCTCTACTGCAGTCTCATTCCTTATAAATTTCCTTGTCAATTAAAGAATTCACCAAATTAAAACAAACAAATATCATTAGTAAAGTTTTATACTTAATCATTCTATTACATTTGGTTCTTCCTGTTTTTAGATTTTTTTTCACTCTTTGAATATGATAAAATGTTACAGTGAATAATTTTGGTCTTTGTATGAATGGGTTGGGCTCTTTTAATTTTATTTTCTTTGGACACATTCACATGGGTGGGATTAATAAAAAATTTTGAACTATGCCTATTGAAACACATTAGCAAATTTCTAAAACAATTTTCAATGGCTCTGGTAAGGGATATGGCAAATAAGTATAAGTGAATTTCTCTATATATGATTAACTCACAAATTAAAGGGTTCTTTAAATGGTGCTTATACTTGGATAGTAGCATTTTATTAATTCATTAATATGGTGCATTAAAGTCTTTTGTCTAATAAATAGGCTTTGTATTACAAAATAAGTTGCCAATAATTAGTTTCACTTTTAGTTATATTAATTTATTGGTTTCTATATTATTATCAAAGATGGAATTGAGCGGCTTAATTATATAATTCTAACTTTTTACATGTTTCAGAGTTCATAATAAAAAAGCTTGAGAAAACTTTAAATTAATAATGAATATAAGGCAAAACTATATAAACAAAAGATTCCTTTAATTGTTTAAAAAATTCAAATGTTCATAGGGTGAAATATTTTGTTGCACTTGATTTTTTTGAGAATTGGAAAAAGAAAAGGATCATCAAGACATACTGTATATATACCCAAGAGGCAGTACAGCCTAGTAAGATCACAGAATTTAGAACCAAACTTCCTGCTTTAAATTCCAACTCTGCCATGTGCCAGCTCTTAGATCTTAAATAACTTTTCTTAGCTTCAGTTTTCTCTATAAAAAATGGACATAATAAAGTTGTTAGGAACACTATATGAGCCATGCACATAAAGCACTTAGAATAATACCTGGTGCATAGTCAGCATTCAGTAAGGCTTAGCTGTTATTATGGCAAAAAAGTATTGGATATCTACCAAATGTGTCCTATGTAGTAGGTTAATAGAAATTATAATTAACTCTACTCTTCTTCTGCTCCATTGTACTCTCCTTATTTTTGATTTTGGAGCATTTTATGCCCAGAGAGATTGATGTTTCTTTTTTTCCCCTTTCATTTATGGGTAGGTAGGAACATAGCATGTTCAACATATATAGCCTTTGCAGGATAGAAAAGGGGAAAGGAGGTAAGCGTAGAATATATCAAAGAGGAATTTCTCTGATTTTGGTCTGAATGTTCTCTCCTTATACCCTTATTCTTTTATTTCCCTCTTTCTTATTGTCCAGATTAAATGCATTAATGGAAAAAGAAAAAATGTCTGCTAAGATAATTGAATATTGTAACAGTGCAATGGATTCCTTGGTGGAAAACAACATGTATGTAAACAAAGTGTGGGTTCAATGCGAGAATGAAACTTGTTTGAAATGGAGATTGTTATCAAGTGAGGATGTAGCCAAAGTTGATCATAATGAACCATGGTACTGCTTCATGAACGGTGATCCAAGATATAATGAGTGCTCTATTTCTGAAGAAGAATTTCCTGAAGAATCTCAGCTTCATCAAAGTGGACTTAAGATTGTCTATTCACAGCTTCCTCTTGGAAGCCTGGTTTCAGTAAAATTACAGAGTTGGCCGAGGTAAGGTTTTTGTTGTTTTATAATAAACTGTTGAGATATAGTCTTGCCAGGTTTATGAATTTTAAAAATCTTTTCAAAGAATCAACTTTTTTTTTCTCTATTTGTCTTATTTATTGATTTCCAATCGCATCATTATTTTCCCCATACTTCTTTGGGTTTAATTTGTTCTTTTTCTAGTTTCTTAAATTGAAAAGTTAGGTAAACTAATTCACATCTTTTGTTTCCCTCCCAGTATAACCAATTTAAACTATAAATTTCTCTCTAAGTACTGTTTTGGCTATATAAATTTTGATATGTAGTGTTTTACCGTTCAATTTGAAATATTCACTGATTTTCTTTGTGACTTCCTCTTTGAAGTGAGTAGTTTAGAAGTGTGTTTTTAAATTACCAAATATTTCAGGATGTTACTATATATTATTGGATTCTAATTTAAATCTCTTATAGTTAGTTCCACCGATTCTTGTTTTATGGACCATTGTGGGTCTTGTTTCAATCTTCTATATGTGGCTATTCAATTTTCCCAGCACCATTTATTGAATAGGGATTCTTTCCCCCAGTGTATATTACTGTCTACTTTGAAAAGATCAGCTGGCAGTATGTGGGTAGTTTTGTATCTGGATTCTTTCTTCTGTACCATTGGTCTAGGTCTCTATTTTTGTGCCTTTACCATGTTGTTTTGGTTACTATAGCCCTGTAGTACAGGTTAAAGTCTGGTAAAATGATGCTTCCATATTTGTTCCTTTTGCTTAAGGTTGCTTTGGCTATTCAGGCCCTTTTCTGTATTATTTTATGTTATTACACTGTAGGTACACCATAATTCTCTCCTTGGTCTTGATACAGTAGCATTTCTTATTAGTCAAATGTTTAATAAGAAAGACGTTTTGTTATTTTAGTGACTTGACTTTTGTCTATGGTGTGAGATACACCTTCTTAAATTCATCTTATCATAGAGCTGGAGAAGACCTTCAGAGGTCATGTAGTTCCCCCACTCCCATACACAAACGACATTCTTACACACACACACATACACAACACACACACCCTTTGCTACACACCATACACACTTCAGTATCCTTTACTGAATTGTTATTTAGGCTCTTAACTAGCCAAGAAATATAAGTTAGGAGGATGAATATTCCATCTCTGGGCTAATTAACTCTTCTGAAGTCCTTTTGTTTCTTGAGTTGGATGTAGCCTCCCAATGTTTTCATTTTCTTTAGTACTGGTCCTGCTTCTGAGCCATGACTATGTTCTAGTCTAGTGGAAACATTCGAGCTTTGGCATCAGAAAAACCTCTTTTGAATCATGTCTTCATGCCTTATTAACAGTCTCATTAAGAAAGTTGTATAATATCTTCAAGACTCAGTTTTCTCATTTAAATAAAGAAAATAACAAATACCTACCTCATTGGGTTTATGAGTGGACTAAATGTGATAAAGTCTGAAAGGAGTGCTGGGAATACTGACATTAACACATTGACTGTCACACTAGAAAAAAACTTTTTTCCTTGGGGCTACAGTGTTTTATTACAAAAAGAATAAAAATTTTGAACACAAAATGATCCCTTCTAATTTAATTAAAAATTTGTTATTTTTTATTGTTTTCTGTGTGTGAGTTGTATGCAACTTGAAAAATAGTTCTCACTGCTCCCAAGGTGAAAACATGTGAGTTACATATGCTTCATGAGGCCTTGGGCTCAAAACTAGCATGGCAGTTAATGTGTTAACTGGCCTCAGTAAAAGAGAGTTCTGTTCTCTTTCAATTCTACCCCACCCCAGATTTTTTTCAGGACAACTTTTAAAGTATGTCATGTTCTTCCTCAGTTCCTTTTATGATAACATTAAATGAATTTTTCCTAACTTTTACTATTTAAAATTATGTTATTTAAAAAATATTGAGTGAATGTATTACTTGAAAATTCCAATTTTCTTAGTGCTAAATTTTTTTGTTTATATCTATAATCCTAAATATTCCTTATAACAATAAGGATTGTGTGCCTGTAAGTGTTTTACTTATTTCAAATTTCCTTTTAAAACATAATAGTATAAATGAAATAATATGAATAATTTCCTAGTTGTGGATTTCCTCACTTCAGAGGTTTTTTAAGGACTTCTCTACTTTCCTGTTTGGACTCCATGTGGAAATGTTGTTTTAGTTTTTGCTTATCAGACCAAGTAAATCCCAAAGAGAAAGTGGAAAAATAGAAAGGGACAAAAGTGGGAAATGAATACCCAAAGAGAAAAATGAAACATGAAGGAATTTCTAGAGGTTTATGTCATGAATATACCTCTAAAGATTTATTTTTAATGAAGGATAAATTTTATTTTCACTATTGAGAATTTTTAACAATTTGGTCATCTGCCAATGGAGCAGATGGGGTGGGGCAAAAAGGACAGAATAGAATTGTTGAGCTCTAGTTCTGCCTTTCCCACAGTAATTTTACTCCAGTGTTATCACAGCCTGAGCTACCAGTTACTCCTTTAGCAGCTCTGGCTCAGGAAACACTAGCTCTTTCCTACTCCATCAGAAGCCATGCCCGTGGATTAACATTTTGGTAATTAATCATGTTGGTTGGTTAGAGTTAATTCAACTCTTCCGTGAATCTAATGAACCTTTTTTTCTCTTATCTTTCCTATCAGTAGTGCCTAACTGTCTCTTATTAACCCTAGAGATCAAATCAGTTTTTTGCTTTATATTTCTTCCCTCTTTTATCTTACTTGTGTCTTAGATTTGTGACTATTTCAAAGCTTTTCTATAGCTACAAAAATATAACTTATTACTTGTATCAAAGGAATATACCACCTTTAAGAGATATGTAGGAATATGTTTATGTTTTATGAAAAAAGTCATCACTATTCAAAAAAGGAAATTTAATATACAATTGTCATGCATGTGTTTTCTAACTTTTGTAAATCATCAAAATAATTAAAAATATTTTCTTTTGAAAGTTGGCCAGGGATACTTTGCCCTGATCCTTTTAAAGGGAAATATGTGACATATGACCTGGATGGAAATGTTGAACGGTATCACATAGAATTCCTGGGGGATCCCCATTCAAGATCATGGATAAATTCAACATTTGTTGGACATTATAGTGTCACATTAAAGGTAGGTCAATACCATCAAAACTTGATTCTTATTACACTTAGTGTACTTATTGCACTTATTTTTAATTATGTTCATTTTTATCTAAGATCCTAAAAGATATATAATTATTTACTTTTAGATTCATATAAACAAAATAATGTATACTATTTGATTAAATTTAAATATTTATATTTTAAAGCAATTTTCAAAGAAAATATGGATATTAAATATCTGTAGGGGTTTTAAATTTTATTTTCCTAATGGCAATATAATAAAAGGCAAATTGAAGTCTTTGTATAATTGCCTTTGAAACAATTTTAAGATTATCTTTTGGTAATTTTTTAATTCTCTTGAGAACATTCTTAAATTGTAGCCCTAGCTGACAGGGAAAATTAATTATGAAATGCAACCAGCTTTTCAAATTTCAAATGGAATATTTTATTATGCTAACTCCTTTAGTATCTTTTTGAATTTTTTGAAACTTTAAATCCCACACTATAATTAATGAATAGACTAGGTTCTTATACTGATGAGAATAGATGAACTGGACCTATTTCCAAGGATTTGGTTTAATAAGTATAAATCAATTCAATGATTTGTGTTTATAATCTAATATTGAAACTTTTCATCTATAAATCATACTTTTATTAGAAACCTGATAGAAAATAGATATCAGAAATGTATATACATTAACCCAGTTTGGATTGTTTCTGTTTTATGGTGAAACACATACATATTTGGTTATACATATAAGTGTATATATATTTAAAGCATGCAGTTTAATCCACAATAAAGTTAAACCTGTGGAAATTTGCAGTATTTTAAAATGTGGTTTTTACTATACCTTTGAAATATATAGTATTTTGTATTATTCAACTTGAAAATAGCTAGCAGAGAAGGCTGTTTTAGTAAAATTATTTAAGCATAGAATAACATCACATAAATCCATTTCATGGTAGTTGTGGCCCAGTCATCTTAATATGCAGCACCTTGTCTGCTCTGATATTTTGGATGTGCTTCTAGACACTCCTGTGGGCAACTTCTAGTAGACAGGAAGGAATATTCCTTCTGCGCTCCCCTCCTTCTGTCTAAAGGATGGGGAGACCTTCCAGTTGCTCATGAAGTTGACCTTACTCTTACTAAGGATTGCTAAGATTTCCCTGTCCCTTGGACATGGAGATACTATTGACTATAACCTACAGCTCTATTGCCTACACTTAATCTTTTATGGTCCTCTCTGCTCTGGAACTCCTATATCCACAAAGCTATCTCTACACTGTTCCACATTGATCGAATGCACACTCCCTACCTCCAGGAAAAAAGACCACTTACACAAAAATTGATGTATAGTAAATAATGTGGACATTCTTAACTTTTTCCTAGAGGAAGTGGAAGATGGATGTAAATTGTACAAATTGTCTGATCCCTTTTTCTAAAACTGAGTGAAGAATGGCAGGCATATATAATTCTCACTGGCTATAGCTGACTAAATCTCGCTTCATACACCATGTCAACATAATTTTCTCCTAATTTGTGTAAGCTTAGTTTAACAACTAATTAAATAATATTTCTGGATTTTCACTGAATATGGACTCCGCATATATTTTGCAGTGCATATGTTAAGGTAGAAGAGAAATAAGCTCACCTAGAAAGACAGACCTGCATTATATGCATTTGTGAGAAAATTGAATATTTTTAAGTTTTATATTATGAACATTTTAATCATTATCTTTCAGTTCAATCATGTTTGTGTAGAGTTTTGATAGTCAATTTAATAATCAAAGGTTAAGATGTTTATGGGACCACTGACTTTATTTTATTATTGACAGCACAACAGTATTCAGTCACTGTCTAGTCATACAGATGATAGTGTTCTCTACTGACAAATAGAACTACTTATTGATACACTGAGATATACTTCAGAAAAAAAGTTGAAAGCAATATTTAGGTTATAGATTTATAATTCATATGTTTATTTACCTATTTTATTTTTTAATCAGTAGCTGTAAAGATAGCTATAATCTCCCACCCCCAATAAAGAAATATTTATTTTCTCAACAGTATTCAGAGAGAGGATTCTGGGAAAATGGTAAATTAATAAGAATCAAGAATGTTTCCCCACCTAAACAACAATCTAGCAGAATCTAATATAACTGTTTTGGAACACTGGAGTCTATTAATAGCTTTCAATTTCCACGGGAAAGCTTGAACTGTATATTGTGGTTAATTTCTGTCAACTTCAGCTTTTATCTCAGTAGCAGCTACTGCCCCAGCCCAAGCCATGTGGCAGGCAGCTGTGTATGTGTTCCTGCAGTGGTTTGCACGTGGCCTGAAGGAGCTGGGGAAGGCAAAAAGATCCCAGTCCTCCAAATATTAGGGATCTGTGTTCTTATTGCTAATTGCTGCTTATATTCACATATGTGTAGACAATGAGAAGGGCAGCCATTGTTATTTCACACACACACCCAGCTCCCAGCTGAAGTGTATACCCCTTCATTTTTCTCTTTTTCCCCTTTTGGGAACCACATTAAACATTAGGACATTTGAAAGCCACTGTATATACAGGGAAAAGTAGAAAGACTGTACAGGCAGAGAGAAATGTGCAGGTTCAGTAAAAACCTGAAAAGACCTGAAGTTACACATCAGAGTGGTCTTTGGCACAAAGATAGCCTGCAACAATCAAAAAATCCCTAACAATATTTATTTAAAAAAATAACAAATTCAAGGGAAGGGGAAAATCTGATTCCTAAAGTTACCATATTATTTGATCCAAATGCACATTTTTCAACAAAAATCCACAAGATTTGTAGAGAAATAAGTAATTATGGCCCATTCAAAGGAAAAAAAAAATAAGTCAACAGGAATTGTCCCTGAGAAAGACTTGATGCCAGATCTACTAGAAAAAGACTCCAAAGCAGCTATTTTTTTTCTTTTTTTAAATTCAGGGTATTATGGAGGGACAAACATTTTGGTTACATGAAATGCATTTGCCTCGCTCAAGCCAGGGCTATGGCTATGTATGGGGGAAGTATATCCTTCCCCCCATAAAGTATGCCCCGTTTCCATTAGCTGTGGGTTCATTCCTCCACCTCCTCTAACCCTCACTCCTCTGCCTCCCAACCTGACTGGCACCCAGTGAGTATTACTACCACATGAGCACCTTAGTGTTGATCAATTAATACCAGTTTGATGGTGAGTACATGTGGTGCATGTTTTTCCATCCTTGTGATACCACACTTTGAAGGATGGGCTCAATCTCTATCTAGGATAATATAAGAGGTGCTAGATCATCATTGTTTTTTGTAGTTGTGTAGTATTCCATAGTATACTATATATACCACATTTTATTAATCCACTCACGTATTGATGGGCATTGTTTCCACATCTTTGCAATTGTAAATTGTGCTGCTGTAAACAATCGAGTGCAAGATTTCTTATAGAATGTCTTTTTTGCCTTTGAATAGATGCCTACTGGTGGGATTGATGGATCAATGGTATTTCTATTTTTAGCTCTTTGAGGTATCTCCAAATTACTATCCACAGGGGTTGTATTAATTTGCAGTCCCACCAGCACCTTTCACAAAAATCAACTCATGCTGGATAACAGACTTAAACCTAAGGTATGAAACCTTAAGAATTTTGGAAGAAAATGTGGGGAAGACACTATTAGACATCAGCCTAGGTAAAGAATTTATAAACAAGACCCTCACAGCAGCAACAAAAATAAACAAATGGAATCTGATCAATTAAAAAGCTTATGCACAGCCAAGGACACTATCATTAGAGCGGATAGACAACCTACAGAATGGGAGAAAATATTTGCTTTCTACACATCTGATAAAGGGCTGATAACAAGAATCTATATAGAACTTAAGAAAATCAACAAAGCAGCTATCTTAAAGATACTCAAAGAACTAAAGGAAAATGTAGAGAGTCAAGAAAAAGATGTATGAACAAAATGGAAATATCAATGAGGAGTTAGAAAACCTAAAAGGAAATCAAAAAGAAACTCTAGAATAGAAAAATAGAATGACTGAAATGCAAAATTCACTATAGAGATTTTTAAGCAGGCAGAAGAAAAAAACAGCAAACTTGAAGATAGAAAAATGAAATTATTGAGTCTGAGAAACAAAAAATAAAAAGATTGAAGAAAAGCGACTAGAACCTAAGGGACCCATGGAGCACCATCAACTAGACCTATATCTTGCAAAACTGTCCCTCAAAAGTGAGAGAGAAATTAAGATATCCCCAGATAAACAAAAGCTGAGGGAGTTTATTACCACTAAACCTGCCTGCATGAATTGCTCAAGGGAGTCCTGCAGATGAAATGAAAGGACACTAGATCATGTCCTGAAGCTGTATGTAGAAATAAAGGTAAATACATCGGCAAATAGAAAAACTAGTATTATTATAACAATTGTATTCTACATTCTTTAAAAGACTAATTTTTTTAAAAAAAAATTATTAATCTAAATGCTAGTATCATTGTAACTTTGGTTTGTAATTCCACATTTGTTTTCTATATAACTTAAGAGACTAATGCACTTCAAAGAATTATTTGTTTATATTTTTGGGTAAACAATGTATAAAGATGTAATTTTGTGACGTTAGCAGCTCAGGGGGTAGAGATGGAAATATTTAAAGGAGCTGAATTTTTGCATGTTGTGGAAGATAAGATGGTATAAATTTAAAGTGTTATAACTTTAGAATGTTAAATGTAAAATTGCTATGTTAATGAAAATGAAAATAGCTATAGAGTATATACCAGAGGAAATGAGGAATGAATTTATGTTTCACTGTAAAAAAACAATTAAACACAAAAGAATACTGTAATGCAGGAAATGAAGGACCAAAAAGCTATCAGGTCTATATAAAACAAATAGCAAAATGACAGAATTAAGTCCCTCCTTATCAGTAATTATATTAAATATATATGGATTAAATTTTCCAAACAAAAGATAGAGATTGGTATAATGAATTAAAAACATATACTCTATCTAAGAAGACTCACTTTAGATCCA